CCCCCCCCCCCCCCCCCCGCCCCCCAGAACTATCCCTGATTCCGCCTGACTCAGCTAGCAAGGCTATCGAGCTTAGCACTTTCCTTGCAATCCCTGTCCTGGCAAATCAAACACCTTTCCGCCTGATGTAAGCAGATGGAGTAATGCGATATCGAGCGGCGTGTGTGAGGTTCGGCATCCGCTGTGCCATATGCCTGTTTCCGGGACATCGGAGCTGTCTAGGTATACCACTGTATGTTCGGTGGTTCATATTCTATGTGGATATGATTGCATGAATAGACAGTCTGTTGTACTTCATCAATGTACAGAGTGTACTTTGGAACTAATAATACAGATTCGCTCAACCAGATATGCGCGTCCCAGCACAACTGTCATCCCACACAGCACATAAGCAGAGCACAAGGGCCACCCTTCATTCCTGGGGATTCATACTTACGGCTTGTGACTCAGAATCATATTCTCACATTCTGATGTCTGGTTATTTGTCCAAGCAGAATGTACTGTGTAAGGTGCACACATGTTTAATTTACTCACAAAAAAAAAAAACATGTTCAGTCATGATTCTAAGGTCCAACAACCCCTTCCCTTGACATCATAAAGACAGCACAGCTCTGATCAGGGCAGGATCTCCCTTCATTTCGGAGGCTCCCCTACCAAGAATAAAGATGATTATTTCACTTACACAGGTAATTCGGAGGCCTACGGCATTAGAAAGTCACTTCTGCCCCCTACCTGGCTGGTTTCTGGTCGTTCCCAGTGCCTCCTGCTTCACCTTATTCTTGTGTACTGCTGTCTTAGAAATTTTGAGCCTGGAAGCAGCCTAATGATTAGCACAACCTTCTGCCAGCAGAACCAGGATTAAACCAGTTTTTTAAAAAATACAGATTTAAAAAAATATGGAGTAATCTCTTAATTTTCCCCAGAGCTATATATAAATATATAATACATTATTTTTCATGATTGGTTGGGCCCCCTTGTGCTGATTGGGCCCCCTTGTGCTGATCTGCCAGTCTATTCCTGGCTTTGCCCTTGGCTCTGATATTCCACTGCATTCCCAAATTGCAGTGCTGAAATACCTTGAGGGGTGGAAGTCAGGTAACATGTGTGCTTCGTTTGCCTGTAGGAGGTATCTAACCTACAGTACCTTATCTGACTCTGCTCTCTGGACTTAGACACAACACAGAGACCCAGACCAGTGGTCCTGTACAGATTGTTCTGAAAGGAAGGGTGTGAGAGAATGCAAGGCCGCCGTCCGTATCGCATGCATGTGCGTGTCTTTTCTGAAACAGTGTTTCGTCTGCGCCTTGTGAGCATCAGGGTGAAGTATCTCAACGAGGTGGTTCACTTTTAACAACCACTTCTGCCTCTTTCTTAAGAAAAAAAGGAAATAAAAATGCTAAAAATGATCGCGTTATCGAGTTTTTTCTGTGCCTTGTCGGGTTCCTGTTGCATTTTAAACATTCCATGAAAAAGGGAACTGATAGGGTGTGTGTGTGTGTTTGTGTGTGTGTGTGTTTGTGTGTGTGTGTTTGTGTGTGTGTGTTTGTGTGTGTGTTTGTGTGTGTGTGTGTTTGTGTGTGTTTGTGTGTGTGTGTGTTTATGACCCCATTCGACCGTGCGTTGAGTCTTGGCTTATGACTGGACCATCAGTTTTTAATTTTCTACCACAAAACGCAATGTGACATTTCTGGGTTTTCCCCCCCAGAGACGGTACGTCAGGAAATTCTTGGGGGGAGAGTGGAAGACTGGCTGCAAGCTTCCTTTAGATGTAGCCACAGTGGTCAGTTTTGTTGGTTTTGCTTGGATTCTTCCAGAAATGCAATTTAACATCAGTTTTTTTAAAGGGTTCGACTTAAGGCTTTTCGGTCTTTATTTCCGTAAGAAGCCTTTATACAAAAATAATGTAAATTCATAAACGATATACCCCATATGTACAAGCATGAGTAATTCAGGCATCACATTACTGTGCAGAGTAGTTGAAGCATTCAGGAATCAGCCATGATACGAAGGTGGCAAAATCAGAATCACCATCTCAGGAAGAAGAATCTCAGAATGAGACAATGAGATACTGAGGGAAAATAAAACAGGAGCCACCGGCTATGAACTGAAGTACACGCATGCTTGTTTCGTGCTTAGCGGTATAAACGTTTGAGGCTGGACTTCCCATCCGTTTAGCCAGACTGCGGGGAGATCGATAGTGTTCCCGCCAGAGTCTGAGAGATAGCGTGCTGGACTCTGAAGCCTGGTCTAGCTTCTACTCAGTGGCTTTCTGGCTGTCAAATCCCTCCAGTCCGGCCGGTGAGCCCTGCCCATTCCGAAGCAGCTGTCTGTCACCTGCCTGCTTTGACCGAACGACCACATGTTCGGGTCGTTTCTCTCTGTCTTTGCCAAAAGTAGGAGGCCGCTTCACGGATCCCCAGATCACGGAGGTGACGTCCTGCCGTTGTAAGAAATCTGGGGGATCCCATTGCTGGAGTTGTCCAGTATCTCCTGTGACGGAGGGTACAGGTTGTGGGTAAGTAAGTAATGAGAGCAAAAATCATTGATTGCGGATATACAGTGCAGATAGAAAGTCTCGGGACGCTTCCACAATTCAGTAAAAATGTTGCGAGTTTATTGGTTTTGAAACAAAAATCATTGCTTTTTTCATTTGTTTACAAAAATGTATCTCACATTAAAAACAACCAGTTGTTTAAAGTAAAACATTCAGTTCAAGTAGGAATAAACTGAAACCCGAATTCTAGTTCTAAGAGCTGCTCCGAGTTAAAAAGTTTATTTGCAGACAGACTCACTGGGTGCCTTTTAATTAGTATCACCTTTGGAATAACATAAAGTGCCAAACATTTGTGTTTAATATCCCTTTGGGAGCCAGTGATTACAATCGCCATTAATAGCAAAAAGCAAAAACAGAAGTCAGTCAAAAAAATTATGACACAATAAAAAGAAAATGTCTGTGTGGAAGATTTATGCAGGTATATCTGGAGGTTAGACAATGCTTGCCAATGGACTTTCGTTATAAAACTAATAAATTTGCAACACTGTTACAGAATTCAGCAAGTGTCCCAAGACTTTTGGTGAGCACTGTATATATTTTATTTAGCCCTCGTCCAAAGTAATGTACAAGTGAATCAAATATTAATATGTGAAATATAACAACAAGCAGCAACCTCTACTGAACATGAGTGAAAAATTAAACAGAAAAAGACAAAGTGGAACTGAACATTGCTGAAGTAAACGATGTAACAGATGCAGGAAGTTGATTCAGAGTTATCCAGGACTTCTAAAACATGGCTCCCATGTTTGCCTCGAACTGCTTTTTCTAAACACATGTGATTGGTCAGCATGCATTCCATGAGGGGCAGACCCTACTTGGCATATTGTCCAATCAGGTGAGAGGCTACCTTGTCAGTCATCTCGTGGGAGTGGTGCAGCGAGTGCTCGCGCTCCAGGAACATCCTCTGCTGCTCACTGCTGGCCAGGCGGCAGGTGAGCCATGTGGACAAGGTGCAGGTGCTAATCCCCAAGCAGGCCAGACTCAGGGCGGCCAGGTGCAGTGGCCGCAGCGTGTCGGGCCGCTTGACCAGCGCCCGCACAAACTGGAAATTCAGGATCCCCCCAATCAGCCCACAGATGCAGCAGGCTGAAAATAATATCATCTGTCAGCCGGAACAGGGACAAAAACAAAGAATCAGTTCTCAAATCATAGGGACCTAAGACTACTTTAATGTAAAAATTCAGCTGCATAGCACAATTTAAAAATGTCATTATATACTATCCATCCATCTATACCTGTAATCCTATGCAGAGTCACAGGGGTGTGGACACTATCCCAGAAGCTATGGGAACAAAGCAGGGAACAACCCAGGACGGGGAGGCCGACCCATCGCCAGGAAACATGCACATTCACACCTACAGGGCATTTGGTAACTCCAGTTCACCTTAGCATGTTTTGGGACAGTGGTGGGAAACTGGAGAACCCAGTGGAAACCCCATGACGACACAGTGAGATCATGCAAATACCATACATGTAGAATCAGGGCTAACCGCTAATATCATGCTGCCCCTTCATTGTGCACCAAAAACACTTTTTGCTGAATATTAAACCTGAAAATAAATATGATTTCCAGTTTAGGACAGGGCAGGAATATTTCAGCTGGTATGCTCTGGTGATACTATTGGGAAATTGGATATTAAAAGCAGAAAAAAAAACTGAGCAGCTGAATGTATATGTAAGGGAGAAATTTGGCCACAGCTGGGTGATCGGTTTTGTGGCCGACAGAAGGAAAGCCTCCAGAAAAGTTTGCCCAGTAACTGGGAGTGACAGCAGAGAGAAGACACTCACTTTCAGCAAAGAGAAAATCTGGGATGCAAAGCAAACGCTAGCAGGAATTGTACTTACACAAAAATGTTCTGAGGGCAGAAAGAAAAATGATTGGTTAAAATGTATAACCAATCAGAATATAGAAGAGGTGGGTCCAAGAAACTAGAGGAGGTGGGACCAAGACATCTGATTTGTTGGTCCCTCCTCCTCTAGCTGCTTGGACCCGCCTCTACTAGAATCTGATTGGTTATCTCACCTCTCTGAAGCAATATTTTTTGTTTTTGCCCTCAGAACATTTTTGTGCCAGTAAATCTCCTGTGGGTAAAGCAAACCCTAAGAGGGAAAATGAGTGAGATGAATGAGTGAAAGAGAGGGATGCGGTTGGAAAAGGAGAAGGGTTGTTTGCTGAGGCTATCTCAGGATGGGTTTCACTCCTGTATCGATTTATCATTAAGTCTCTCCCCAGTGAATTTACCTCCTTCCCCTCCTGTAGCTGGTTAATTGAATCTCCCCTCTTACCCTAAGTGTTAAAATACACACTGTCCACACTTGGATTTCGCAAATCACCGCCTCGGTTTCAGCTAATGTGGAATTTTTGAGTAGGTGCTGAGTGGAAAAAAGTAATAATCAATAGAATAATTAAATGTGGTTGCAACTGCACCGTGAGTCTCTTGGCGAGACCTATTCGGTCCCCATAAACCCCGGGAAGGCGCTTCACGGCGCTGCTGAAGCGGGTGTACTTACGACGAGTCCCGTCCTTTTCTTGGCACAATGTACCCCGCAGAGTCCGCAGATGAGAAACTTTTTTTATAAAAAAAAAAGAAGAAGAAGAAATAAATACATAAATAAATACAGAAGGAGAGAAAAGAATATTAGTCAGTTTTCAGTGCCCATTCTTCGTTCTTTTGACTCCAAAAGCCTGATACTAACTTTGGAATGCGCCTTTTGTGCTGGAGTAGGATGACGAGTCACGAGGCCAGAATTTGTTTTTTTGTTTTCCAGTGCAATCAGTCTTTGGGAAGGTGCACAATACGTTTGTATCCGGGGCAACGTGTGATGGCCTATTTAATATGAACTTTATTTAATCCACCTTGCTTACAAAAATAGTTCTGTCTGAGGTTTTAGATTTGGACCCAAAAATACTGGAGCCCCAGCCACGTGCCCTGTGAGCCTACAATAGGCTCCACCCACCCACCCACCCACCCATGAACCTGACTCGGATAAGCAGTTAGACAATGGATATATTAAAATACTGAGCCACAGGTACTGCTTGTTGATCGCAGCCCCTTCTGATCTCGAATCTTACTGCACCTGGATATTCACTCGGTCTGACAGGTTCTGCTGTTTTGTGGCGGGTTTGGGGCATGAATCTGTTAACCTAAATTTGGTCGCTATACCTTTCTCATTGGCACGGACACTAGATCTGAGCGTTTGTCTGGGAACTGTGGAGTCTGCAAAACAGGCGAAGTACGGAAAAATGTGTAACCTCAACTTCGCGGTCTAAAAAGAAGCGCTACTAGGAACATCTCTCAATGCACCGGAATACCACAAGAAACTATATCGATGTACGTCGCATGAAATGTTTTATTTTCCTTTAAAAAAACAAATGCAACTCAATGGGCATTTTTATATCCAATGATGCCAATTTTGGTGTTATATAGCAAACATTACGTTATCTTCTATTAATTGTACTAATTTGGATTTAAAATTCATTGACGAAAGAATTCGATACATAAATTCATTTTATGGACTGGACATTGGCAGCTTAAATTAGAACAATCACTTTGGATAAATTACTATCAATTAAATATTCTAATCCACCAACTTGGTTTCTCCTAACTAATCCCAGAACCCGTTGAACTTTTGATGACGAGCATATACCCCGCAAAAAGAACAGACGTAGTTTGATCCGTAGATCAAAAATTGTAGAGCCTGTCATAAACATGCATAAGTACATGCAGATGCAAAACCAGAGGCTGGATAAAGGATGAATGTGTAACGTACACACACCCCGCTCCACACCGGGGACGCGTCTCCTTGCTGCGCCTTGTGCTCCGCTTTCACCCGGCTGATGCCCACCGCGCCTAGCGCGATGCTGCCCACGCCGAGCCCTATCTCCACCACGGAGAGCACCAGCAGACTCCAGATGATCTTCCGGCTGGTACACATCCTCTCTCCGGCATCCTTCCTCGGTGTGTAGCGAAAGGGAGAACGGATCGGCTGGCTCACCGATCGGAAAGCAGCACGTATCCGCCCCTGCGCTCTCGCCACATCGATCCCGAAACGTGTCCAGTATATCCCTGTATAAATCTGTGCTAATATCGCTATATGGAAGTTGGAGAGCCAACTGTCCCTAGGAAACTCTTGGTGGCGAACTGTGTTTCGCCCGGAGTTGTCAGTGATCAGTTTGGCGGCGACGTGGTGCTGTCCGAAGTGCTTAAATCTCTTTAGTCTCCGCTCCCTGTGACCCGCAATCCTCCGACGGACACATAAGCGGAGTGCCTCTGATAAACGGAGCACTTCACTCTTTACTTTCTGCTTTGTGAAGCGGGTGGTCTGGTGCCCATGTGACTCACCTGCGGGCTCCGTACACCAGGAGGATTTTAGTGATCCAACAGCTGATGCCGCATTATTAGCGCGCAATTGTTACGATCACTAATTCCTCCACGATACCTGTCCCGTTTTTATGTAATTAAAAACCATTAAAATTCTCATCAGTATATTAAATCATAGTAAGTTTGATTGGTCTCCGACGATGTTAAAAGACTGCGCTGTTCTATACTGGGCGTCTATAGGTTGCTATTATACCAAGGCGGCAGAGGCGCATTGCGAATGAAGGAAGATATATATTTTACATTTTATTGTCAATGATGCACGTTTGGTTAGATCACGTTCTTCACCATTCATTTTTTCACACCCATCTCTTCTCTAAAAGTGTAAGATCACGGATGTGTTCCCGAAGGTCGTGGAGTCTTTACGACGCTATGCCTCGGAAGTTTCAATTGTAAAAAGTACCGTGTTTGTTCTTTAATATAGTTCGGTACGTTGTGTCTGTCTGAAAGCCTCGCGGGTGTTATATTTTTAATCGTTTATATGAACACCTTTACAAGGTAGAGCCATATAAATTCAATATGCGCTTGTTTTATAGGTATTCATGCCCAGCGGAGGTTAAACAAGTCAGCCATAACAGGACCTGGTCACGTTTTTTGTCAAAATAAATTATAAAGGTGATATGACTAAGGATACATTATGCGGTCATCTAAATCGAAACTATTGTGGTTTTTAAAATATGAATATTTAAAAGCGCTCCCTCGGGTGCCATCAAACCCCGGGGTCAGGGGAGACATGGGCCTATGTCTGAAATGGAATTATTATTGTTTGTAATTAGGGCACAAGAGACCAGTTGTTAGGCTCACATTGCAAAGTGCTTGACTTTAAGAATACCCGGATAACGTTCGCAGTTTGTTGCGCAATTTTGGATGTAGTGTTTAAATAAATAGCCTATTTTTTTATCCCGTAATACCATGCATAATGATCAGGTGTGTATCAGCTGTGGCGTATTGTTTAGCTGCATGATTTGTTATGGATTAGTTTTACAGTAAAACACAATAACCCACATTTCCATGACGTAATTCAAAACAGTGCTTCAATTATCTAATGCAGCTTACGTTGTCGAGCGATTTCACAGTCCTGACCTCTCTCTTTAATAACTCGACAGACGTACTACTGTATTTGGCCTGGGGCCCTGAACATACCGCCACTGTAGATAAATGATGAATTATTTATTTGCTTTGTTCCTCCCCTGTAGTTTTACTTGCAAACAAAAAATATACCTTTATAAACTGAGTACGCAAAATATGAATAATGAAAGACGCATTGGATATGTTAGCAGCGCCGTTGCTATAAATCAAATCTTGAATTGTTGTAATACGCTGTGTAGCAGCAGTTCTCCACATAAGGATGTTGAAATTTACAAATATGTCTCGCCACGACAAACACGCCGACTTACCGTGACGCAACCCAGCACCCTGCTTGCTGGGTATGAAAAACGACTTTTGTATTTTGTATGAGTAAGCAAATGCAGAACTGCAGGTGTGTAGACTCCCGTAGGTAATTTGGACTGTCCAGATATCATATAGCACTGGTTTCTGAAAGGCAATGCATCCCAAGAAAGATTCACATTAACGAATTGTGAAAGATTTGCTGTCATCTATAGCTTTGGCCATATGTCACACCCAGGTTACTTTAATTTTTAAGGCAACATTTGCAGGACTGTTAGGGAATTATCAGCATTGCAAGTACCTGAGCAGAGTACTGCAGAATACACAGTCCACGTACTCGGTGTAAAACGAATAGTCAAGAAATTAAATACATTAAGATTACATTGTCATGCGTTGTGCACTGTGCATCGATATACATAAGATTTTATTGCCAGGCCTTGTACATTGTACATTAAGTTTAACAGATTTTATTTACATAGTAGGCGTATATTAATTAAAGAGACCATAAAAACAGATGGAACGTATTAATTTGTTATGGATGTAGCGCGAAATCAAATTTCACACGGAAACGACATGTCAGGTTTCTGAAAGCTTATTTTCGGGTTCGAGCACAAATCCCTGGGGTAATATAAATGGGCCATTGATTATGCATAGGTCCTTTGAGATTTTAGACGTCCAGTCTGTTAGACATGCGTATTTATCAACTGTTTGAACCCGGTTGCTGCATTTAGTTTATTCTTTTGTGCGCCGCGATTGCGGTTAAAAATAAAACTGCTGATTTGTTCTTACTGTTTGAGACGCTGAGATGATCTTAGTCTGAAATAGCATCAGGCTTGCTATTTATAACCCATGTCATTCAATGTTACGTAACCGGAGAAGCTAAAGGGGCATTTGCTCTCACCCTGCAGAGCAGGGCGTAAGAGAGATCCGGATCTTTTCTCAAAGGTGCATGCAGGATGGTGGTAAAACGCGCCCCTCCGGATTTACCTCCATGGTTTGGGAAAACGTTTGTCCCGCAGACCAGGATACATGCCGGTCTGTGGCTTCATCTGTGTGTCCGCGGTTTTGTTTCTTTGATTACTGTCAGCAAGCCGTATTAACGTATATTAAGCTCACCGCAAAGGGCAACAGATACATAATATAGACAGTTACAAAAGGTATGTTTTGACGGCCGCATTGTATTTTCTTATTTCCCCTCACAAACATTTCTGGGGGAGGGGGGGCAACACAGTTGAGTCAGGAATCACTGCCATTCAACCATGTACATTCCAGCCGGGAGGCCCCGCTGCCCCCCTCCCCCCGGACCCCTGCCACATCCATAAATTCTTAATAACTCACAAATGTTTCCTCATAAATGATTTCAAGGTGATCTCTTTGTGACATGCAGACGGCAAAGATGCTCTCTGAATTGCTGAAGTATCGGGCATGCAAAAAGCTCGAGCGAGGGCACCATGTCTCCCTGCTACAAGCTGAAATGCTCCGACTCCACACCGGTCTAGAGTTATGTTTTATTTATTTCAGAAAATGTTTGGGAATTGAATATGTGTCATGAGTTGTATTGGACCTCTACGTCTCTATACCACAGAGGCAGCCAGATCAAATATGTGATGTTTAGGATCCTTCTCCTGTAAATGTCGTGTTTTTGTGTATTCGGTGTTTAAAATAATTCTTGTGCATCAATTAATTGTTTTTGCTGAGGAAGATCTTCAGATCCCCTTTTAAAGATAATATGATTAGAAGGACAACCTCAGAAAATCTGGCTTCTCACGATCGTCTATGTCTGCTTGCCCTATTGTTGTGATGGCCTGCTTGCCCTGTAACTGAAGGGTGTTGTGATGGCCTGCTTGCCCTGTAACTGAAGGGTGTTGTGATGGCCTGCTTGCCCTGTAACTGAAGGGTGTTGTGATGGCCTGCTTGCCCTGTAAC